CCACGCGTCGTTTCTGGGTTAAACAGCATCCTATATCAAACCCATCCATACGCTCACCGACAGGGAAGCTGTTGAGCGGCAGAAGCGGGAAAACGCCGCAATCCGTTTCCTGTCAGGCGCCCTATCTCGTTGGAAAATAAAAATACAGTTTTGCGAACGGCAGTGTTTTTTTTTAGAGGGAGTCGCTTTGCAACGCCGAGAAAATTCCCTTCAATAACAACTTTAATGTCGTGTTCCCCAGTATTGCTAACTTCATAGAAAATGTGATGCAGTTCATCTTAATTAAAATTCAATAAACAAAGCCTAAATTAGCCAAAATTAAAAATAATAATAACACTGTGAAGCTGTCCAATTAGTCAACGGTTCCAGATGATTGGTCCACAATTACAGCGCGGCTGTGATAATTGTGGGGTTTAAGTGATGAAGTCTGGAAAATTGCACAGATTATGAGCCTCTTCTTCAACTTTAACGGACTGTACTGTACCTCACTGTAAGGCATCATCGTTATGGGAGACTCACGGTGTCGTGAACTGAATGACCAGACAAGTGAGGGAGGGTATGGCCTTAGGGCAGTGGTTCCCAACCTTGGAGTCGGGAGCCAACTTGGGGTCACCTGATCTGCATATGGGGTCGTGGGAGATTGCTGACTTGTAAGCTTTAGATATTTGACGCTATTTTTGATAAAGAAAAATAATTTGAAAGGTCTCATACAGGTCCTGTATATACGAACAGACTGCCTAATGATTTGTCGCCGCGAGTCCAACTACTACTAATTACTTTGTGTCGTGCGATGTGCATACCTTCACTGGGACAATGGGATATTATGGGCAGATTGGATTAAAACAATGTGAGTGTCAGATTGTAGATAGTCTTGCTTCCTCTGGTGAAATATGAACATTCACATCATGGTGACCGAGTGCTAAGAGCCAGGGTTTCAGTGTTAATGTTAGTGTTTTTATTCCTGATCTGTTGGTCACCACATCAAAGCAATGAGGCTAGTTTATTTCTATAGCACCCATCAAACACAAATGCCCTTCAGAGTGCTTTACAAGGCAGGAAGCCATTAAATTACAAATCAGTGAAAGACAATACAAGACAACCATTTAAAAGCAAATGTAGAATACAAGTACAGAAAGCACAGAAGTTATATATATATAAAAATCATATATATACTAGTACATTTTAATAAAACTCTGTGTATTGTATGTTCGTACGTCCTGGCACTTAAAAATTGTACTTAGCATTGTGTAGCATCTTACCCTAGCTATCTTTGTTGTATATGAGAAATGGGTTACCTAGCAATTATGAGTGCTTTAAACTTGTTCTATTGACATCCTTACTGTACCGACAGTGATATATTGTTGCACTTTCTTTTGACAAATGTACTTATTGTAAGTCGCTTTGGACGAAAGCGTCTCCTAAAAGCCCTAAATGTCAATGTAAATGTAAATGACATCTGAATTCACTGTAATCGCTTTTGATAAAAGCATCAGCATACCGGTAGTAAATAAATAGTAAATCGCAGGGTGTTTTATGGTGCTGATCTCTTGGCGTTAACCTCCAGCTAAAGTGAGTCCAAGTGGTAGTTTAAGGGAGGCTCGCTCCTGGGATCTGTCCGCTCCCTTCGCGCTACGCCTAGCGCTGGATTTCTTTCTGCATGATTTGTTTTGAAGATAAACCCTCCGACATCAACGCCTCGGGCTTCCAAGACCTGGAATAAAGCAGCGAAATTCATGTGAGATTTGTCAGTGAGATTTGTCAGAAGAGACATAATATATATATATATATATATATATATATATATATATATATATATATATATATATATATATATATATATATACTGTATATATCTGTTATGTAGTGTGTTAACATGTGTAGGTATGCGTGGTTATGTTGTGTATGTGGCACGTGTGTTTGTGTATGCTCATGGCAACGCTTGTGTGTGTGTGTGTTTGGTCCCGTGTGTGCCAAACACGATACAACCATGACCTTGCATGTAGCGTGTGTAAATGTACGTGTGAAGGGGAACAGACATTGTAGAATGTGTGTCTGTGTATGTGTTGTACCATTTGTTTGTGTGTGCTATAGTGTGTGTGTGTGTGTGTGTGTGTGGGAGGGGGGGGGGGGGGGGGGTGTAGCATGTGTGTGTGTGTGTGTTGTAGCATGTGTGTGTATTAGCTGCCTGTAGCATGGTGGTGGGAGATAAGGCTCCAGGACTGCGCCCTGCCTCGCCCCCCTCACCATTTTATATATCTCTCCTCCTTACAGCAGGGTGCCCCCCCCCCCCCCCCCCCCCCCCCAGGGTGCGACCCGTGGCCAGGTCGTTTCACACCGATTGTGAACTGCAGTTCTGCGGTGCGACTCTTTTGAGCAGAACAAGCTCATCCTGTCCAGAGGGTCCCGCGCTGGCGGCCCGTCTCGGATCAGCAGCGCTCATCTAAAGCTCCACAGGTTATCTTCATAACCCCCCCCCCCCCCCCCCATCTAAAACCTCCTGTCCCTCCAAGTCTCTTCCTCTCTTTTTGTGTATATCTTTCTCTCCTCGCCTTTATCTTCACCTCTCTCCCCCCCCCCCTCCCACTGTCTCTCCCCCCTCTCTCTCCCTCCACCCCCCCCTATCTCCCTCTGTCCTCCCTATATTTCCCCCCCCCCTCCCTCAAACCCCCAACCCCCTTCCCTGCAAACTGGCCCCTGAGTGTGTGTGTGTGTGTGTGTGTGGTTTATCGAGACGAAACTAGGGGGGATGAAGGGAGCGAAGCAAGGGGGGAGGGGGCAGGGGGGGCGTAGGTCAGGAGTCAATTAGTCGGCGTGGTATACCACGCCACCTAATAGGTGGTGGTGCCGGCGCCATGGTGCAGCGAGGAGGGGGCTGCAGTGGGGGGGTGGGGGGTGGTGGTGGGTGTGCTCGCGTGTGCGCAGCCCGGGCAGCAGGTGAGAGCACTGGGCGCCGCTCTAAATGGAATGGTAATGTGGGGCCACGGAAAGTCGAGGCTTTCTAATTGGAGCACAGCTGCTGCGGGGACCGGCCATCCCCTACGCTCACACACACACATACACACACACACACACACACACACACACACAGGGATGAAAACGATGACCTGATCTCCATGACTATGGAGATCAGGTCGTCGTTTCATCCCTGTGTGTGTGTGTGTGTGTGTGTGTGTGTGTGTGTGTGTGTGCATGCCAGGGGAATATATAAATACTTGCCCTAAACTGTGCCGGGGGAAGAGCTCTTAATCCTTATTTTAGACGGCGTGGTAGAGAGTTAAACTGCTCGCAGGTTATGCCGGTGTTGTGGCCGAAAACCAAGAAGACCGTCGGCTTCGTATGTTTTTACGCAACATGAAAGAAACCGGAAAAAAATGTTTAAGGTGAAGAATCTGATTGATTTGCGTTTCACAATTTGCTGAGTTGGCGCGTCGATGTCGTTTAATGAATCCGGTAGTTTAAAGTGATTGGATTTCTAAATCAATCAAAACTGAAAGGAGACTTTTCTTTTTAAGGAGTTATAGTACCCACAGCAGACTATTGTCGTTTCTGTTCTTTTCACTGCGGCTCCTCTGTCGCTCTATCGCCCCGAAAGGAGCTATTTCAGGAAGGATTAATCTCCATGAATTATAAAATTCAAGTTGGAGTGCTCTGAGGTGTCTGGTTCCCTCCACCTCCACGCGGCTGTCGGGTGGAGGTGGAGGTGTGTTAGTTCCTGAAGCTCAGCGTAGCTCTTCTGCTGCTAACCGCAGCGCTCAGAGGTCGGACTCAGAGAGAGAGAGAGAGAGAGAGAGAGAGAGAGAGAGAGAAGAAACATACTAAAGAAGTGGAAAGAACCGAACATAGGTTTTTTTTTATAAGCCTACATAAATGTAATGTCTGCCCTACATGGCCCCTCTCTCTCTTTCTCTCTCTCTCTCTCTGATAGTGGTGTTTTTCATGCTGCTATAGGCTCTCCTTGTGAGGATATTATTCTGGGAATAATAGATGAGTTGGGAGTGATTGACGGATGTGTTCTGCTCACTGGTCACCTGGTTTATGAAGTAGCCATAGCGATGGGAGCCCTACCAGAGGGTTATTGGCTCTTACCTTTCCCGGTGGTCTTTTCTTGATGTTCGGTGAACCTCATTAGGGTATAGTAAATACTGGCCCCCCCTCCCTCAACACACACTTCATACATATTTGCAGTCTATACAAACATACACACGCACACACACAGGGAATTGGATGATTTCATCCAACAAGGTATGAAGGAATGGTGCAAGATAAAGAATACCAGATTCATCCTTCAGAAACAACCATCACCCAAACACTGCAGGTTTCTGTTATTTATGTCAAGCGTGGCTATTTTTCACGCTCTCGCTCTCCCTTCTTCTTCTCTGATTCCCGCTGTCACTCTCATCTTCTCTTTCTCATTCTCTCCATCACTCCCTCTCTCTCTGCCCTGTCTCTTTTTCATTCTCTTTTCTCTCTCTCTTTTTCTCTCCCTCTCTCCTTTTCGCTTTCTCCCTCCCCCCTTTCAGAAAGCATCAAACGGCTCTGAAATGGTCCCATTTTTCCTCTACACTTAATAAGTTTCTCTAACATGTCTGCTTCTCTCGTTCTGCTGTCAGCCTTTATCAGCCACTCACAGGGGCCCAGACACCCTGGACCCGGGTCCTCACCAAGAGAACTGACAGACAGACAGACAGACAGACAGACAGACAGACTGACGGGCAGACAGACAGCGAGGGATGGATGGATGATGGATAGATCAACAAAAGAAAGGGTGGAGGGATGGATGGCCGGACAGATAGATGAGGGGACAGAGTATCTAGACAGGCAGAGAACACTAATATCTTGTCCTGTCTAGCTCAACTGGTAGAGCAAGGCATCACCACTGCCAGGGTTAGGGTTTGAATCCCTGTCTAGCTCAACTGGTAGAGCAAGGCATCAACACTGCCAGGGTTAGGGTTTGATTCCCTGTCTAGCACAACTGGTAGAGCAAGGCATTAACATCACCAGGGTTAGGGGTTCAGTTCCCTGTCTAGCTCAACTGGTAGAGCATGGCATCAACACTGCCAGGGTTAGGAATTCGATTCCCTGTCTAGCTCAACTGGTAGCAAGGCATCAACACTGGGGTTACACTTAGGGGTTCAATTTCCACTCGGCCACCCATGCTAAGAATAAGACACTACTGGTGCCAGACTGATAAAAGCACCCAATAAAATGGCAAAGATTAATGTGTTTATTTATTATATTTCATATCCCTGTGCTGAGCGGCGTGCCATGATATCACGTCTATCCCACGCCACTGAATGAGAGAGAGAGAGAGAGAGAGAGAGCGCATGGTTTGGTATGGTATCTGTTCAAGCATTGAACAGATATTGAACGCTCTCGTCCATCCCCCTGTAAGAAGCAAAGGGAGTGGGTTGAACTTTGCAATATTGACAGATTCTCCAGGTCAAACAGGATGTTGCGTGCCGTGAGTGTGGAACTGCAGTCTATTACTTATGGGCGGTGATTGTCATCTTAGATCATCTTATCCAATGTAAAATGACTACAATCACGCCGAATGGCTGAGTTGAAAGGTGAAGGCAGCACCCTCGACCCGCCCCCTTGGCAGAGGGCATAAAGTGGCAGCTCACCTACTCGGCTTTCACCTCTCAGCCATTCGGCGTGACTGTTAGTAGCATAGATTTGATCCCTGCTCAGGGAACAACTGTTATGCAGATAACCTAAACGTCCCGCTAGCGGCACACTAGCACCGCCGTTCCTCTTCCATTGAAAATAAAACCCCAAACTCCAGGGAACCTCAGTCAGGGTTCCCGCTGCCGCTCTGAACCTGCCTTTTTTCAAGCCCATCAAAAAGCGATAACAAATTGTGCTACAGTGCAGCATCGTGGGTCCTGATTGGGTAGGTTGAGGACCTTAATGAGGAGACAACGTTAGCTCGCTGGAGCACAAGGAAGACGCGTTCTCCTTCTCTCCCTCTCCTCCCCGACACATTATATGCCAGCCTGAGTTCCACGCAGCTAAAAAAATGCGCTACTTTCATTAGTGCACGGAGGGAAAGATTACGGCTCAATGCAGAGTCATGCATTATGCATGCGGTCTGCGCTGTCACGCCGTCGCTCCGGCCCACTCTGTTCCTGTGCGCTGGGACGTGCTCGACGCAGCCACACAATACTGCTTCAGAACACACAGCAGGGGGTTGTAGACCAACACACCCCCACACACACACACCCCCTATGGATCTGTGAACCAGTACTTTGTTGTAACAATGAACATGCCTACATAGCTATTATATGCTTTCAAAAAGAGGGAAAGGGACAACCTTTTACTTTTTCTTCACCTCGGAGCGCAGACGATGAGAGATTCGTGCTTTTAATCTCCCTCTGCATAAATGATCATCAACCACAGTGTGGATGATGTTGTTTACCAGAGGGCCGGAGTCTAACCTTGTCACTAAATCAAACCGGCTTCTGTCCAAAGTTTCTCCCTCTCTTTTTAAAAAGGTATTTATCTGTCTGAGAGCGTTCAGGACTGACGGCGGACCCGTCATCGCAAACTAACGGCCCCCGCAGCACTCAGAGCTTTTAGCTTGAGACCGCCTGCACACGCCAGGATGGGATTGCACATGGTTGTGCACACACACACACACACACACACACCAAAACAGGCACATACATACACCTACTGTAAATACCCACACCTAATCAGATACACACACGCGCATGCGCACATCTAAACACACGCACGCACACTCACACACACGCACGTGCACACACACGCACACTACTACAGAAACAGACATGCACTCATAACAACATAGGTGTTCTGACAAAACATGGACAAGGGCAAGCGTTAAGACAAGGGCATGCACAGACACACAACCGCACACACACACACGCCCACCCACACCCACACACACACACCCCTCCACCAGTTGTGTGAGCAGTAGTGTGCTGTTAGCTGCTCAGAATGCTGCTGGTGCACCGCTCCTCCATCACCCATCACCCTGATCTCTGACAGCCCCCCCCCCCACCCACACACACACACACACACACACACACACACACACATACACACGTCCAAATTTACCGCTCCCTCTGTTTACACGCCACTTTCCCTGCATTCCGCACAGATTTCTCCCTGTTTTATGCCCGGCGGTTAGGAAGCGGCGATAAAGCAAGAAGCCGCAAGACAAGAAGGCAGGGAAGGAGCCGCACGGCTGCAGCAAACATTTTTTAATGTTGGTTTTGTTTTGATTTATTGTCTTCTTTTCTCCCGTTTGGCTGGGCGGTGTCCCTGTGACCGGGGGGTGTGGGGGGGGGGGGGGTGTGGCTTGGCAGGCACGTTTTGCGGATCCCGGCGATCAATTCATTTTAATCACAATGGCGCACGGCCGCTCCCCCGCCACCCCCGCCCGCCACCGTGGTGCTAATTGATTGGCAGGTATTTGCATATACAGTGCGCCGCTGAAATGTCAGCCGCGGCCTTGGAGGTGACCGGTGCCGGCCGCCGCGTGAGACATCCTGATGAGGGTCATTCATCACACCGCCGCCACCGCCACCGCCGACGCCGCTATTGTTGCCGTCGTCCGTCAGCTGTCACGTGTCACCTGTCAGGTCGCGGTGGCCTCGACGTGATGAAGATGAAGAGGAGGAAGAGGGTGTGGGGGGAGGAGGGGGTGCAATACCCTAGAGGGGGTTAACATAAGTGTATGGGTGTTATGAATGTCTCCTAAAACATTAACTGATAGGAAGAGTTGTACTGTTATGACTGCTGGGGGCTTCACTGTACTGAATGCTAGTACACAGCAGTACTGAGTATGGGTGGGGAGCGGTCAGGCTGTTCCTCTCCCGGCCTAAAACGTTCTGGGCTCGATACATCTTTTGTTGGTATGATCCTGCCATTGGGCAACTATTTCAGTCGCTGTTCTTCTCCCCTTCCGCCATCTCCATGTTACCGTTTTCAAAGTCCCCGACGCTCTATGTGAAACCCACATGCTGAAAATTTTAATGCCAGGGCTCGCTTCCCCACAAGCAAATGTGTTCCCCCCCCCCCCCCCGACACTATACTGCAAGGGCACAGTCGCTGAATCCTGGGCTTAGCGCCGCCCAAGACGATTGTAATTGGTTTAAAGAAATACAAGACAGCAAGACAACAAGACAGAGCGTTTTTTACCCCTATGCCAGAATGATAGTGGGTTCAGCCAGACCTTTCTCCAGCGCTGGCACAGCGCTAAAACTAAGTGTAGAGATAGGTCTGGCTGTGTGAGATGTCTGTAGTCTACCTGTAGGCATCCTTGAGCAAGGATCCCTTACCCCTACCTGCTCCTTCATGAATCTGAATTCACTGTAAGTCTCTTTGGATAAAAGCGTCTAATGGCTTCTAACTGACTAAAGTAAATAAGATACTCCTTCACATTACTGAATAACTGACTAAATACTGCCTCTTTGTCTATTGAGAGCTGTGGGTTAGTTGAGGAAAATAAGAAATACAACTTGAAAGAAGAGAACACAAGAGTGGAGTGTGGACAGAACAGAATGAAAGAAAAGGGAAAGAGATGAATAGAGGACATACATCAACACCTATTTTGTAGTCAGATACGAATCCAAAAAAAGAATTGAGAAATTATTATTTGGGGCACGAGAGAAAGAGAATGAAATCACAGGAAAGCAACGCCTCCATTTTGTAAATGTGCTGACGAGCGATGACATCACAGCGTCCCCAGCGAACGTATTGAGGTCATCTACGGGACAAAATGGATTCTCCAGGGTTAGAGGCTGGGGAGGCAGAGGAGGAGGAACAGATCTAGAGCAGGACTGATGTTGCTGCAGGTTTTTGCCTGCCTCAGGAGTTCAGGTGCCTTCTGCCTCCTCCAAGAGTATACCCCCTTAGCATGTGGGCCGCCGCTGCTCCTCTGAGCTGCTGCTCCACTGAGCTCCTCCTACTCCAGCTTCTCCTGGATGTTAGGGACATTGGGATTTGGCAGCCTCTGACTGGGTGAGAGTCAGAGGCGTGTGGAGGCATATGTTTTGTTTTCAGCTCCTCCTCCACTGTCAGCTTCCTCTTCTCTCCTACTCTCTTTGTTTTTGAGCATGTTCTAGAGCCTTCTATCAGTGGTGCAGGTTGAGACGTGGGTCATTTTGCTTAAGGGTAGTGGACGTGTGCAGTCTCCTTCTCCTGTTTGTCTTCAGACGGGTTAAAGGTCAAACAGCAGCCATCTCCTGACTGATCCCGTTAAGTCCCATTAGCTTTAACTGTAACTATTAACTTAAAGTTGAAGGAGGTTTTAAAACCCAGTGATGATCAACAGTATGCACTGCAGACGTGGCTTTTGAATTACATTTACTTATCTGTTCTCTTCTATGAATGGTCAGTTGTGGTTTGTTTCTGTTGTACATTAACCAGACTTGTCTGACCTCACACCTAACATGTCCGCCATTTCTGACCTCACACCTAACATGGCTGCCATTGGCCCCCATGGTTCTCTGTTTCCTCTTTCCTCACGCCTCCTAAATTCGACTCAATTCATATTCCATTGCCTGCATCTTATTGTGCTCCTGTGATCCTAATCCAAGCCCCTCACCATGGGTTCCATCTCCCCCACTGCCAACAAGCAGGACTTTATCCTCTGATATAAAAACACAGTCGAGGAAACAAGAGGGGTGAGGCTGGGGTTTGTAACCACGGTGACCTAGAAACTAATACCTCCTCCTTGTCCTCTCTCTCTTCCTGGGGTGTGGAGGGAAGGGTGGGAGGTGAGGAGGAAGGTAAGGAGGGAGGGCGTTTGGAGGTAAGGAGCGAGGGGGAGGGAGGTAAGGAGGTAGGGGTGAGGTAAGGAGCGAGGGGGGGGGGGGGGGGGGGGGGGGGGGTAAGGAGGGAGGAAAGGAAGTAAGGAGCGAGGGGGAGGGAGGAGGTGTGCAGGATGGAGTGAAGGTGGTAGGTATTTCTAAACTCCTGTCGCGGTCGAGGCTGGCGGCGGGCGGTCTTATCCCTTAGAGCGAGATGATAAGGATCGGTCGATGTCTCCTGTGCCGAGAAGACCTTTGTTTTGGGGATTATGGGGGATAAGGGGTCGGAAGGGGGAGACTGGCAAGGCCTAA